GGAAGGGAGGGAAATGCACGGGACTATGGTGGTGGCACAGGGGTGATTTGGTGATGGGAAACCCATGGGGATTACAATTGAGATGAAAAAAAAATGTGCAAAATGATGTAAAAATAAACTTTTTAATAAAAAAAAAAAGACAACATTTCAATATTGTAATATTAAAGATTGCAAACATTTAAAATGTAAAGATTACAGGATAGATAAAGCCACTCTTCTGGTGCCTGCCCCCTCACCCCTTCAATAAGTATCATTTTATGGGCAATTTTATTCTATCTCTCTAACTATTCTCAATTCAGATTATTTTAAAGTAGTCCATCCAGACAGAACTGAGGGATCCTAACAGTGATTTTTTGTGTTGATTTGAAAATTTAACCCCAGAATAAAAAAAATACAAATCAAACTCACCTTGCAAAAAAAATTTTTCACCTATCAGATTTTTCACTATCAGATTGGCAAAGATAATGCTTGAAGAGTTTGAGTCTATGCCTCTAAATGATACACTGTGCTGTAAACCAATGCTACCTCAATAACAGGTGTTTTTTTTTTTTAATATTTAATAATAAAATCTGTTGGCAAGGGACCACAGGAATTCTCCAACATTACTGATGACATGAAACACTGGTATCTCTAAAAACACTTGTGGCAATGATAATCACAATCTAACCACAGAGGTCAGCAAAACTTTGAAAATGACATCAAATATCTGCTTTCTCTCTCACATAGTTGGAACATGGTAAATGATATCAAGTTAACAGAGCTTGGTAACTACAACTCATACATGACAATAAAAGCTTCTTTATCATTTAGAAAATAATATTGAATAAGTGACACTCATTGCCCACCCATCGGCTCAGATCAGACCCCATAGCTATCTGCTCTTATGACATACTTAACTTTTTCTTCTAAAGCACCTCCTGATTTATAATTATCTGAGGATCAGAAAAAGACTCCATTTTAGGAAAGAAAATTTTAGGGAAAATGCAATTATTTGGCAGTCCAAGATGCAGAAATTTATGAAGAGTCACATGGGTGACACACCACATTAGCCATCTGACATTGAAGACAGCACCTGCCTTTCTGAAGAAACCAGGGGGTCCCGGGAGATGAGCAAAGCACATGCTACCCTAATGTTTATCAAGTTGGTAACAAAAGTCATTGACTATTTACCTTTAATAGTAAGTAGTGATTTACACACACTAGAACAATTATGAATAAACAAAAAGATACCTATTTCTCCCACAAATCATATGTGGAAATCAAAAATTAAAAAATTTCTAGTGTGTCACGGAGTGACTTTAAAACTGGCTGTGAAAGCAGATTGGTTCTGTAAGACATGAAAGCAGGAGGCAATTTACCAGCCTGGTTCCTCCTATATTTCCAGCAAAATAGCACACCCAACATTAATTCTCTTTACAGAAAGGTAACTGGAAAGAGGACTGAACGCATCACACCCAGGATATATTGAATAAGATAATGTCAAAAAATGAACGGTTCAGGGCAAGCTGGAGTACCATGTACCCACAACAGCACTAACCTGCTAATGATTTGGAATAGGGCCTGGGGGAGGGGAGGTGGGAGGGAGGGTGTTTGAGGAAAAGAAGTCCATGTAGGGAGAGAGTCTTGGCTCTTCTTCTTATGCTTCCATTTTTAAGAAAAACAGATTCCTACACTGTCACCATAAGTTCTATGAATGGTAAAATGATGATGATAATGATGATAATATCACATTACTGTGATATTACTTCTCTCTAAAATAAATGCCACTAACACCTTCCCAGTCCAGTTCCATGCAACAAACAATTCTAGCTGCAAAGGGTAATCAGACAATAACACTCCTAAAAATCTAGGACTGTGGAAGGGAAACTTTCAGGAAGTTTTAAAGCATCTAAAACACACAGCTGCCACAGGTTAGCTCACAGTTAGCAGACATTTGCAACTCCAACTTCAATAACTTAATCTCTGATCTCCAAAGAGCGGTTGGTTCCCAAACATCCGGTTCCCCTGTACTATTTTATAACAGTTTAGGCCTAACATTCCAGGTTCACATGTTCTAAGATGGTAACTCCTTACATAGACATGAGTCCAAGACAAACAGTTGTTTATTTGCCAGTGTCCAGCCTATCCTACCTACAAACTCCTTTTTAACACTGACAAACAAAACTTTAAAGAGGAAAGAAAATCCTCCTGCTGACTCATTCCACAACAAGAAGAAGTTATTTCCCAGGATAGGATGTTGAATTCCCACTTCTGAGTGTTGCCATTTCCACAGGAGAATTCTGGAAGGAGTCTGGGGAAGGGACGAGGTCAAAATCCCAGGAATCCCTTTCGCTTTATTTCTTATGTTGCTATAGTCATGTTATTTCTGTAGGAAAGTTCAGTGTCCTCAACTAGGTTCTCTCAGCAACAGGGCAAACAGGAGGCCAGAATTTGGGAATGTTCAGTAGGAAGAGTCGAAAGATCCTCAGAAATCCAGCAAAGAAAGAAGCAAAGTTCAGTTTGAAGCATTGCCTGGTTTCCTGGACCACTCACAAGGCAAGTGAGCACAGAACACGGAAGCTGGGCAAGGAACCAATGATAAATGAATGTGTGTGTTCCTCTACATGTGACGGTAACTGCTGGTGCCGCCCTACTACTGACTGACTGACCTCGGCAAAAGCAAGCAACCCTGTCAGGCAGGTGTGGTCTTCAGATGGCAACGCTGGCATTCAAAGCCAAGTCTACTCTAAAACCCACTCTCATCAAAACACATGCTTTGAAATCACCCATGTCAGAAAGGAGTGAAGGCAAGTTTTTCACTAATTATACTTTTGAATCAAGTTTACAGAGAATTAATACTTGAGTTTTAAAGTATAATTAAAATCAATGTTATCTGGATATATAAAGACATGTAAGAAATGAAATCAGAGTACAGCAATTTTCCAAGCGGTTTAAGTAACTGTAGGGATTCTGTGTAACATGCTAGTGTTTCTGCTTTAAAGTAAGATTTAAAACACTAACAAGATGGCAACAAAATTATGATCCCTCCCTATAAAGTCTTTCACTTCTCACATCTTGTTTGAGCCAATGAGAAGACACACTCATGATGAATTTCTGATCTCCACTTGTCTTTGTACCCTGAGGCTAAATTCTTGTCCATGTCTGGTAGTTGGGGAGGGAAGAGAGGGTAGAATCAAAGAAGGAAAAGGAAGGAACTACATAGCGAATCTTTGATTTTTCTAGGAAAGCCTCAATTTCAAATATTTTGTCCCACTGTCTGATGACTTTAGTCTGTCATGCCCTAAAACCTGATTTGACAAACATGCTCTCCCAGTGTATGAGAGTCACAGACAGATTGATGAGAACAAACTCAGTTTTCCCCTTAGGAAATAAGAATTAAGAAACCCAAGCCCTATTAGTTGTTTTAAGTAGACCGTGGAATTCCTGAGACCGATGTGCCTGCAGGCAAAGATCACACCACACATCAAAGAGCATGAGACAGAGTGAGACCATGGACTTAGGCCCCACTCCAAGGTCAGACTCTTGTTCTATGACCTTGAGCTTATGAACCTCAGAACACAAGTTTCCCTAATCTTAAAAAACCGGTAGTAGCACATGAAGCTCTAAGAATGACAGACTATACATACACTGTCTTACATACTGTTTAGAACTTAGTAAATATTCAATAATATCCCTGGATTTTCATTTGGATATACACAATATGCCTTAAAACTTCTCAACTATGTCAAAAATCAGCTGAATGCCTACTGTAGCTGCTTTCAGGAATATGACTTTGTAGTCCAAGCTCAGGAAACAACATCAACAACAGATGTTTATATTTACTTACCACCCCTCAACCCTAAAAACATACAGCTAATAGTCAAAAACACAAAGTACAGCACCCCAACCTACCTTGGCTGGTTCTCCACAGTGAGGTTCTCCCCCCTCTGATAGCCACTGTCGGCCACCTGGGTTGTAGACCTCTTCACAATTTGCTTTAGCTCCTGCTCCAAACGTTCTTTGATGGCCTTCACTGTCTCTGGAATCTTCTTTAGTTTGGCCAACCCCTTGATAAGGATGCCCATAAAAAGGGTGCTGTTTTCCTCTGGATCCAATTCCAAATCCTCTTTGATATCCTGCAAGTTCATCTCCTTCACTGGTTTAAAAAAAAAAATAAAATTAAAAATTAAAAGGCAGACATATATTCATTATAAAATCCAAAAAAAGAATGGGTCTAGTAAAAATGGGATCACCACTGATGACTCCCTTAAGACTAGAAAAGATGTTTCAATTAAATTATACTTAGATAGCTATAATAGCTAAGAATTATAAATTTATGGTTACACTCCTGAAAGCATAGCCATGTGGTAGTAAAGTAGTAGAAACAATTAAAAATGAGTAAACAAATCACTATAGGCAGTGTCCTGTAGGAGATGATGTCTACAATAAGCCACTCAGTCAGTGAAATTTATTAACCCTTCACAGCTCATTAAAATATTCATTGTTTACCTGGTGTTACAGAATTAAGAGTCAGATCCTACTCTCCAATTCCCCTTTATCAGCTAAAGAGGGTAAGCTGTTGGATAAAAATGCAAGTGATTATATTATAGAGTTTATAAATACATGTATAAAGGAAAAAGGAAAGAAGCTACAATTGCAATGAATGTTAAAAGAAAAAGAAAAACTGGCAAGGCTTTGAGGAGAAATAGCAATGAAAACATATTTCATAAGTTCAATAGAACCCCCTTCTATTTTTCATTAAACATACATCTGCCATAATATCAGTAGCTACTAAAACAGGTCTTGCTCAACCCCGCTAGTTTTCTGAGAAGACATTTCATATGTCAAAAGTCTCTGCAGATCTTAAGACCATAGCTTTCACTCAAATGATACAGAATGGGAATAGAAAAAAATAGCCTAGAACTGAGGCTCTTAACCTCCTGTGGCGAGACAGGCAGCAAACACGGCTGGGACTCTAAGACTTCTGTTATCTACTAAGGGCTGCAGGTTTGTCCCTCAAAATACTGCAAATGTATGCAAGACTTCTCAAATAATTTCAAGGGGTTTATAGATGGCCTAAAAATAATTCTCTCCTTTTACAATTGCCTGGATTAAGACAGGTAAAAGTGAGTGTAAGTGTAAAGATGGATCCTAGCCATTCAAGTTCCATCCACCCCCCTTCTCTTTCACTCTGCCAAACAACTAGAATGGTTGTTTTTAAAGATTTATTTATTTATGCATACTGAACTGGGATACAGGCCAGAGGTGAGGTGCAGTGAGAGGATTCACCAGAAACAGAGTGGGGAGCAGAACAGGCACACTGACAAAGTACACTGCTGAGGGGAGCAGTGGGTAAGACAAGAGAGGTCTGTTGTGCCATGTGGGTCACCTCCAGGGCCGGGGATTGAACTTGCACTGAAGCGGCTGAGGCTAGCTTGCAGTGCTGCGTCCTAACGTGTTGTGCCACGAGGGAGGGTCCCAACGAGAAGGGTTTTTAAAGATGTGGTATCTTGAAAGCAAGCAGACAATCTTCAGGTCCACTACACTCAAAGCATTCTCAAAGTTGTTTCATACAACAGGAATGTATACTGAAATCTATTCAGAGAAAAGAATGAAGATATTCCAGAATCTGGAGTAACTTCTTAGAACCACCACTTATATGACGCATGTGCTACTCAATTCTTTTTGTGCTTGACTCTCAAGTCATAAGATTCGCTTACTTAGGAGCCATAGGCACCCATGATATAATTACTCGTACAAATTTGTTCTTAGTCCTCCAACATTTAAACTTGTTGCTGCCATCTTAGTTATATTCAGTAGACTCTGGAAATTTATGAAGAGAAAGAGAAGCCTAAGAAGAATGACCAAACTCATATAGCTTTATTTGCAATGTAGCAAGCATTTGATGATGTAGTCAAGAAATTAAAACATTTTTACTACTAAAACTGGGAGTAGAGGACCCTCCCTGGTGGCACAGCAGGTTAAAGCACAGCACTAAGAAGCCAAAGCCACTTCAGCATGAGTTCAATCCCTGCCTCGGAGGTGATCTACATGGCGCGGCAGACCTCTCCTGACCTACCTGCTGCTCCCCTCAGCAGTATACTGCACTGATCTGCCTGTTCTGCTCCCCACTCTGTCTCTGGTGAATCTTCTCATCACACCTGCGCCTCTGGCCTGTACCCCAATTCTGTATGCATAAATAAATAAATCTAAAAAAAAAAACTGAGTAGAAACAAGTCTAGAACCTGTAAAGATGGCAGGATAGTTCAGAAAGCAAATGAAAAACTGGCATCGATACTTACAAATGTGATATTCCAAAGGAGGAACAGACACTGTAGTTACTGCTTTTGTTTTATACATGAAGAAGCTAGACACCTCAGGCCATAGAATTACTCTGGGCGGCCACACCAGCCTCACCAGCAAGAACAGAAAAATGCCTAGCAGTCAAGGAGCCATCTAAATTCAGCAGTTAGCAGGAAGACATGAAGCAAATAAGCAGTGCTCCAGGCAGAGGAGAAAACAAAAAGGTAATAGAAATTTAGCTGGGGAAAAAAATGATCTTGACAAAAAAGCACACGTGAGTCTCAAACAGAATACATGCCAAGAGCCACCTAGAAGTCAGAGGCAGTTCAGTGTCCCAAGAGCGGCTGCTGCTGTGCGTGATTTAAATCAATCACCCCAGACCACCTCCCATACACTGACGCATAGACACACTAACAGGATAAATAGCCAGCTCTCGCTATGCATAAATAATAAATATTTAAGAATAAGATATAAGCACAGTGTGAATAATAAAATTCCACAGCCCTAAGTAACACCTTTGTTGGAACCTTCCCTTTGTTTGCCTGCACGATCTCCTAGAGCATAAACACTGAGCAGATCCAGTATTAATTAACTTATATTATCTATTTCACTTACATCAGCTGAAAATTAAAAGGCAATTTGAAAGGATAATATAATCAACTGTGAAGACTAGTCTAATAATTGCAAAAACCCAGAGAGGTCAGACAGTATTACTGGTGCTTTTTGGAAAAAGCTTTGTGCAAAAATCATTTAGCTGAAGTTCAGAAAGGCCTCGATTAAAGCAAAACATATTTGTTTCTCAACTACTAAGCTCTAAATCATTGCCTGGATCCATATCAACTATTGTGTACTAAAACTGCAAGTCTTAGAACACTTTAAAATTACAAAAATTATTTTCTTCCCCAATTCTCATATCTTTAATTTTTTTGTTTTTTTGCTCTGAGGGTTTTATCAAGTGGATGTCTTGAATCTGGTTTTGAAGTCTCTCATAACTGACAGTAATGTGCTAAATATTAAAAGATTTTTATGTCCTTGAACCAATGATTTCTAATAAAATCCTAATGGCCCAAACTGTATCGTACTACATAGACACACCAAGAACAGACATAAATACCTATACCTACAGGTGTATATATACCTACCTGGACATAATCGTGCCTATATTCAAGGTTAAGCATGAAATCAGTGGCACACCATCTAACTAAGAATGTTGGGACTCATGAAGGAATTAGATGACAGGGTGCTTTCAAGCTTTACATTTCCATGATTCAATTAAATATAGTTTAAATCCACATATCTCCAATATATGATCTATAGCCAAGTATGCATACCTATAAAATAGATAGGCCATTTAAAAATCAATAAACATGTACCCAACAAAGTTTTTTATTTAAAAAAAAAAAGAAAAAAACTGCTTTTCTTTTGTCTCCCAATGAGTGCAAGAAAGTCATCTAACCCAATACATGTCTGCTTCCTTCTCTCAGTCTGTCTGGTAAGAAAAGAACAGTACAATATGCCATACCTATACACTGGTGATCAAATTACAAAAGATAAAGGTCCTAGTAAAACCCTAACTTTTTACTAAAAGGCTTTATTACATCATTTATATTTATACATGTTAATGAAGGCATTAGAGATAAATGGTAATGCTCAGTATAGAATCTCCCAGCTGGCATCCTTTATACTATGCACAGTACCCTAAATACATAAAGTTCATATACATATACAACATTTCAACCTACATAATTTACATATTGCATCCAAGAACATTATCACCCTGAAGAGAAAAAGTGTCTACCACTAATGAACATAATCCATATTAAGAAAAAAAAAGTTACCAAGTCTAATAATTAGACCATTAAAGTATCAAAAGAATTTCATATCCACCACATCTGCCCCCACAGATGGGAACCTGGCCTCAGAATACTGATAATATTCTCAAGTAGAAAATAAAATAGTTACTACTTACAAAGAATCCTTTTGCTTTAGATCAAAAGGGCCCTATAAATTCCTACTTGAGACATTCTGCTTAAAACACAAATATAGGCCCTCCCTGGTGGCGCAGCGGGTTAAAGCACAGCACTAAGAAGCTAAAGCCACTTCCGCATGAGTTCGATCCCACCTACCCTGGAGCTGACCCACATGGCACAGCAGAACTCTCCTGACCTGCCCGCTGCTCCCCTCAGCAGTGTACTTCAGTCAGTCTGCCTGTTCTGCTCCCTACTCTGTCTCTGGTGAATCCTCTCACCACCCTTGCACCTCTGGCCTGTACCCCAGTTCTGTATGCACAAATAAAAATCTTTAAAAAAAAACACACACACACAAATATATATAAAATATCAATTAAAAGAAAAAAATAATTTACAAGGTCATACATAGTCTGGTTCAAAACTAAGAGTAACCTCTCCACAGATAAGAAATGCAGATAATGAGTAAAGCCAGAGTTGTTGTCCAATGAACTCTGGGTAGAAAAAGGCAGGCAGAGTTAGAGACTTCACATGTCCCACTGGTCATGTGAGCTGAACGAAAGCCTCCATGCAGGACTGCAAACACAGGAACAAATCAAGATCTAGACTGACCTAGGCTGGCAGGCTTCTGGCCTCACCCAACCCTTACACCTACCGCTGTCCCGTGGAAGCACACGGTCAAATACTATTCATTTCATCAATGAAAATTTACTTCTGACATGTTTATTTTAGTTAATGGACCCACTGGTGCACTTTGAGAGGCAGTGTCTGATGCACTGGTTGCCTCCAGAATACAGAATGTGGATTCCTGATTAAGGAATTTCAAAACGTGAACCAAGCACCCCAAAAGTGCAGATTGAATCACTTTAAAGAAATGACAGACAAT